AAATAATTGACATGGAAAAAAAAGTACTGCTGTCTTTGCTAGACTAAATACAAGCCATACAATATCTTGCAAAAAAGATTTCCGATTTGACGTTCTGCTTTTTAAAACGTAGGTTGGAAATATTTGATTTCTAGCATATTTTGGCATACTTAGTGGAAAGGAAATGTGACCAGCACTGACAAATCTTGCCAGCTGAGTAATGAAAACATTTTAGTTTCAAAGTCACCAATGTGACTTTGAAACTAAAATTATTCTTAAATGCGACGAAGTAGCAATTTCTAAGGAAATAAATAAACCGTGACTGAAACGTTTTGTGTTTATTTGATTATGAAATAAATTGCTGTTTGTTGATTTTTACATTTTTTATATTTCGTATGCAATAAAAAAAAACCAAAGACTTCGAATCTTCAGAACTTTTTGTCATTAAATTTAGTTGAACTTTTAAATTGTTTGCAGCTTGTAGGATAGAATTTCTATCATTTTTGAAAAATAACAAATGGTGCTTTATTGTCGCCAGATGACAGTCAAATGATATAGAAGTACAATAGTACTTATATTTATTATTATTGAATTTCAGAAATATATTCAATTACTAATTAAAATCTTTATAAGAAAAGTGCTTCCACTACTGAAAGTTATGGATGAGTATAAAGATGATTGTAGCGGACACTACGAATATAAACACTGGAAGAAGGAATGGGATTGTCAGCCAGTTACTAAGACATTTTAATGAAAGGAAACTGAAAGAAACAAAATTCATTGGTTGCCAACATCATGTTCTTGGTTAAGTCCATCGCGTAGTAATAGATGAAGAACGTGGAGGAAACAAGATTTCACCAAATAATGATTATTCGTTTATCCCGGAACTTATAAAGAACTACGAACAGCTCAGGAAAAATTTCAAGAATGGTAAAAAAGTATTTGCTGAAACAGCAGGAGGTCGTAATAATATGAAATTTATATTTTATTTATCTAGGGTATTCCACTTTTTTCAAAAATCTTTTGTGTTTCCGAACGTAAAGTTTAAGAAAATACCTAAATAAAACAATGCAAGATGGAGTTCTCAAGCAGTACTAGCTCTTTTGGCGTTTGTTCTTCTACCAGAGGAGAGACTCACTACTATTCAATTACAAATGCTACACTATTTGTGGATTCATCGCACAGATGGGCGGACCATTGGTTTACTGACCAAATGTACAAAAACGTTAAGTTCAGTGAAAATGTTTTGGAATCAGAAGCCATCGAGACTGGCAATTTCCAGAACAAATCAGTGTGTAAAACAAGCAATCAAGTAACTTCAAAATCTTTTTGACATCTGTTAAAAGAAAGAGAACCTCCATCTTAGAATTTTTTTGCGTAACAAAGCATTAAAAAAAATACAATTGATGAGTTAAAAAATCACATTTTACTGTTTACCGAAGGACAAAATGTTTTAGAGAAGGTTAAAATCACAACTTCTACCTCTCTATTGTGGGCTAGTGTCCTTAATAGAAGGATGACACCTAAAAGATCAACTAAACAACTAATTTTAATGAATGCAGTTGTTGCTGAAGCAAAAGAAAAAGAAAAACGTGAATGTAATGTTGTAGTGTATGGTATTTAAGCGTCTAAAGCTTCAGATTTAACAAGCGCCAGAGAGGAAGATACAAAATTGATTCATGCCATGTTAATATCAGTTTACTCAAATGTAAAAATTAAACAAACAATAAAGTTAAAACCAAAATCCGAGTACAGCCTAAATCTTGCTAATTTCCATCAATTTCTAAAAGACTCCAGAAATTTCCAAAGAGTTTCAGAGATTTCTAAAAACATCTAGAACAGTCCAAAAAATTCTAGAAAGTCATAATGCCACTGCAAATACAGCTTGTATACCGTTTATAAAATTTTGTGCTTTGGGTGATTCTGTGCCCAATAAATGCTTTGGGATTTCTGGTACATTATTAGTATGAATTATCATAAAACTTAAATGCTTTGGGATTTCTGGTACATTGTTAGTATGGATTAAACCATTTTTCAAAAATAAAAATTATTAAGGGATAAAATGCCTTATCTTGGCAGGATTTATTTTTCAGGAGTTATTGGTCGTTTACTATTTGTTATTTACATTAATGATTTGCCTGATAAAAAACTTATAAAAATTTTTTTTCTTTGTAAATAATTCAAAAATATTTTCCAATTATGAAAAAGTATTATCAAAGGTTAATTCTGTAACAAATTTATGTTACATAATCGATTCTTGATAATATTTTTAAACGGCTGTTAATCAAAAATAATTTATTTAACGCATAATATACTTTTAAGTACCACTGTCGCTGAAAAAGATTTTGGTATAGTACTTATCTCTGAATTAAAATGGAAAAATCAAATAACTCTATTTGCATGTAAAGCAAAAAAGAGTTTAGGTATATTAAAGAATGCATACTTAAGTTTCAACAGTGAATTACTAAAAATTATATAAACAACTTTTGTTACACTGTTAATTAAATTCGCTGAATCTGTGAAGTCTTCATATCTTGAGAATGAAATTTTAGAAAAAGTTCATTTTATGAGAATAGATTTGATATAGCGTCACTACTTTTGTTGTAATACGGATTTTGGGTCATTTTATTGTAAAAGATATAATAATAAATGAAGTTTTACCAAGAAGTTATTAATTGAGCTAGAGGTCATCAGAAAATGTAATCTCAATACACGCAAACCTGAACAACTATATCGAATACTTTATCCAAGAACAGGCAATGTGATAGGCAACTACAAAATGCCTTCAAGGAAGCGCATGCATTAGTAATCATCAAAGGTGCAGAACCGACTAAATTGAATGAAAAAGTTAACGATTGAACCCATCAACAAATGAATGATGAAAATTTCAAGGCAGCAAAGCGAGCAATGAATATGGGACAACGCGAAATGTTCAACATGATCACGCAGAGCATCAAAGAGCAACTGGATGGATGACCAGATAGATTGAAGATCTTCTTCACAGGAGGCAGTGGAGTTGAAAAGACACTTCTGCTGAATATGTTACGAAATCAAATCAACAGATACTATGCGAAGGATTCAGTAATTGTATGCGTATTGACTGGATTGCAGCTTGCTTATGAGGAGGAACAACACTTCATAGCAAATTCAAATTTGCCGAATAAAAAGGATGGAAAGAGTGCAAACCTACATCAATCGACAGAAAACTATTTAAGAGTAATGCGTCAACAATTGAATGGCGTACAGCTCATGATAATTGATGAGATATTGATGGTGTCTTACAAGATGTTATGCATAATTGATGATCGAGTAAAAGTACTTATGAAGAATTAAGAAGAATGCTTCGGTGATTTGAATGTTCTATTCCTCGTTGATTTAATGCAGCTACCACCAATTATATTTTCGGAAACACTTGTATACAAACAACCAGTATATATACAAACAGCAACGTACTTATGGAGACAATTCACACTGTGCAAACTCATGGAGAATAAGACAACAAGGTGATATAACGTTTGTAAATCAAATGAATGCTTTAAGAATTGGTGAAATCAGACCGGAACACTTCACTACACTGAATAAGAGATTGTTAACAGAGCCAACAGAAGAATTTATAATTGATAGAGCTCAACGTATCTATCTAACAAGCAAACAAGGTCGACGGACATAATCAAGCAGCGCTACAACACTTCAGAGACCAACATACTAAAATGTTTGTGATACAAGCGCAGGATAAATTGGTGGACGCCAAACGTGACTTAGAAAACAATATTATTGATAGCATCATACCACAAGACATTAACAAGACTGAAAGGTTTACACGAGATTTGGAGATATTTGTAGGAGCTAAGATGATGCTTCAAACAATCATTGGTGGTCGTCAAGGCCTTGTGAATGGAGCAATTAGACTCATCAAAGAAATTATCTGGCCCAACTTCCGCCGTGCTCAAATGTATGCACAAGAAATGCCGAAAGTGAAGGTGAGCTTTGGAAGAGACGGAATATACACCATCGAACCAAAAACTATAAATTTCCCAGCGAAAGGTGGATATGGAACGGTTGAAAGAACAATGTTACCGCTAATAATATCATGGGCATAAAGAGTACACAAGATGCAAGGATACACTATTAATTATGCTGTAGTGTACTCAGGAAAAAAGCTATTCGAAGAAGGTTAAGCATATTTAGCACTGAGTCGTTTGAGATTTGAAGAATTGGACAGCACGAAACTATTTGGAACAAAGCCATGTAACAAAGCCATGTAACTTGAGGAAATGGATCGTATGCGCAACATCGGAAACGATAGCTAAATTACCAATTCCAAGTTGATTATGTGTAGCAATATGACGCAAATACAGACACATAGTATTTAAATACAATGAATATATAGTAACACCATCAATGTATAAGAACTTGGGGTGCTCTTCGCACTTTAAAAGGTAATGTCCATTGGAATAGGTTAATGCCTATTCTTTTTGCATATCGGACTTGAATAAAATAAAATAGTAATATCCAAAAAAACTAAATGTTAAATTTGTGTTTTAAGGGGCCATCCATGAAGGACGTCAACATTTTTTATCAAATTTTTGACCCCCTCCTCCCCCCTTTGTCACCGGTTGTCCTTTTTCCCTATACCCCCCTTGAAAAGGACGTCATAAAATCCTGATCCCCTCCCCCCCCCCCCCTATTTTTAACTCCAAAAAAATTTATTTCATCTCGCAATGATGTTTGAATCTGCTGCTACACCTTTGAAAAATAAAATTAAAAATATTCTCATACATTATCTTCTTAAAAACACATGTTAACGTAGTTTTCCATGTTAATTAAACTAAAATAAAAAATCTATAAAGTGACGTCCTTTTCTGACAACCTCCCCTCTCCCCTTGTCCTTTTTTGTCCTTTTAACTCGACCCCCTCCCCCTCCCTATTTGGATGACGTCCTTTATGGATGGCCCCTAATAACATATTAAAGCATTGGACCTCTTAAAAAAACAAAACAAAAAAATCACGTACCTTACGGACATTTCACATTTCCATCACGCGTGCTTTTTTTATAGTATATTAGAAAAATGGCTGACGTTATGGATGTAAACACTGAAATTACAAACAATAAAGAAAGTAATGACACAAGAGAGACTGGAGCTGCTGAGCCAGTCACAGAAGTCAACATCAGCCGAAAAAGAAGAAATGAAAAAGAGATTTCAATGGATACCGACGATAGTGCAAAAAGACCTAATTTTCCTCCAGTTAATGCTGAAATCACTGTTAGATCTTAAATTATTTTTATATAAATTTTAAGTTTTGTTGTTTATAAATGGTACTTTTTGTTTTCTAAATTAATTTTTTGTTCTCTAATTTAATTGATTTGAATTTAAAAGTTTTTAAATATTTACTCTGATGAATAAATAAGTATTTACAGGGGTTATAACTATTAAACAAAATAGAATAAATCTATGATATAAAAACATGTAACGAGTAACAGAGTCTTACAAGCATCTATTCCTTTCTTTTGGTGTAAAAATATAAACTAATCAAACGTGCATTTCAGGCACTTCTTTTATAGTTAGTAACAAATAAGTCTTACTCGAAATTAGTATTACTGAAAACCAAAACTTAACTCTGTACATACGGTATGGACCATACCTAATGCCCGAATCCTAACCTTTAGGGTTATTAAAATCATATTCTAACCTTTGATCCTAATAGTTAAGATCCAGTTTTTGGAAAGAATATGGTTTTCAATAATACAGTTTTGCAAAGTATTTGTTTTTTTAGTTTTTTAAAAGTAGGGGACAAAAAATTTAAACTGATGCTATAATGTTATATATATTTAAAAAAGACTTAAATAGACCTTAAATACAAGAATGTTATATATCATTAAAGTATAGTATTTTAAATTAATGTATATACTGCATAATTTTGATCAGGTCTAGAACATTTTCCAAAAGCTGGATAGTGTAATGATCTTTTAAAAAAAAAAGTTGGGATCAGGCTTACAGTTTTTATGATGCAAAAAATTTTTAAAAAATATTTATAGTCACCCCTGTTAATGGAAATCTTCAAGGTTGCAACATTATGTTGCAAGTTTGTAGATGTTTTAAACTTGTGAAAACTAGTTTTTGAAGTAATATATTAAACAAGTTAGTTTAAAAACTAGTTTGCAATACTTATATTTTCTTACCAACTAACTCAGTTAACTCAGAATAACTTAGTTGCCATAATATTTATTGTCATTTTTCTTAGTCAAAAATGTTCTGAACATGTTTTTAGTTTAATGCAGTTAATTAGCATCATTTATATAAATGATGTTAATTAACTATATAGTTAATAAACTATATAGTTAAAAGAGTTCTCTTGTACACCATAGACATAATGTAGTAGACTAGTGGTAAAATATTTGGTTCACAAACAAAAAGTTGAGGTTCAAATCTGTCCAGTCCCTCTAAAGATGTGCTCAATCTATTTCTCTGCACAGCGCCCTTGTTTAAAAATTTTTGTTTCTTTATTTAGGATTGAGAAAGAGTTGCAAATATAGTAAAATATTTTAAAAAATGGTTTCTTAAACTCTCTGGTAGCTTTCAGAGAGGGTGACTCCATTAACAGATGTAAAATAACAGAGTATTAGCAATGTCAGGTTTCCCAAACAATGTGGTAGCTCTCAGAAAGTTTTATTCCATTAACAGCTGCAAAATATCAGAATATTAACAACGCCATGATGTGCATGGATGATGTCCCTGTTAATGCTTTTGGTGCACATTGTAAAGGCTGCATAAGGAGCCCTAAGTTACAACTTTAGGTTAATTAGCAGAACTGAGACAACTGTCTAGCTCATTGCTTGAAATTTTCTGCTCTATGAATGAGTCAAGTTCTCTTTGAACTCAAATCATGCAAAAAGTAAGCCTAAATACAAAGCATAAAAAACCAGCCCCACTACCTTACTGTTTTTAAATATTTTTTTAGAAATATTTGAAAATATTTGTAGTCTTCGAAGTAATCCTCCATTAGTTGAATCTTACCTCTTGTAAAATTTACCAGACTTAATCTTTGTGAGACTAATTTAAATTTAGCTGTTCTTAATTCAGATCTCAGTATTGATGGGTACTATCCTTTGATTTGCAAACACTTCAATAATCACATACTTGGCTTAAGGGTATACATACACATCAATTCAACTATTTTTCAAGAAATCAGGTTTGAATCCTTTGGTCATTCTTTTATGTGCTTCTGCTCAGCATCTTTTCACTCTATTATCTTTTTCTTTGTTTTTTGCTTTTCTCCTTCTCAAGACTGGACTCTTTTAGATGTTTTTTTCTCATCAAATTTACCATGCCCTTTCTCTTTACTCCTCCACTAATCACTTTCACTCTTTGATTTGTGTCTTGTCTCTGACTTTAACTTGTGTTCACTTTCTCCTTTTTCTCCTTCAGGTAGTTCTGACCATGCACTGATCTCTATAAATATTTCATCTCATACTTCACCCTATTATTGCACTACTTATTACTACCCTAAAGCTGACTGGGATTCATTTTCTGAGTTTCTTTGTGACAGTTCTTGTATTTTACTTTATGTTTTTGTAGCATTACAATAATAGTAGGATACCTGATGTATTTTCTCTCTCCTCTGATAAATGCACCTCATATGTAACCTCCTGGATCCAGGCAGGAATGGAAGTTTTTATTCCTTCTCCTTGTTTCCTAATCAAGCCTCATTCTACTTCTTGGTTTCCACCTTCTTGTACAGCTGCTATATCTAGGGATTATCTTTTTCCCAATATTTCCGCAATTTCGGATATTTAAGTTTTTATTTTTCCCGGATATTCAAATAGTTTCCTGGGAAGACAAAATAGAAAATGTATGTATTTTAATTAGAAAATAAGTTTTAAAGTTTATTAAAGTTATTTTAAGTATATTAAAATTACCAAGAAAATTTATTTATTGAGATTTTAACAAAAAAGCATTTGTTGTTTTGCCATTATACTTCCAGTTGGGAGGTTAATATGAACTTCATAACTCTGCTCAATATTTTTTGTTGTAAATTATCTGGTTTAAATAAATGTACTTACCGTGGAGTTTTTTAAATAATTTTTAAACAATTTCACAATTAGGGTTTTCCCGTTCAAAAAAAATATTTGTGCTACATTACCCATTTTAGGTCAACTAGAGAATTTTGATAAAATAAATATTGAAATTAAATGAAAAATACCGCTTTTCTACTGTTTTTTTTTTTAATTTTATTTTCCATTAAAATATTTCGTTTTCATTTATTGTTAAATCAAGTTTATTTGCGCTATATTTTTACCAAATCCAAATAAAAAATAAAAATGTTATTTTTGTTTTAAGATTTTATCAGCAAAACTTTTATCATAATTTTTAAATTTACATATCTTGTTTATTATATATCATAATTTTTAAATTAAATTAACATATCTATTTATTGCACTAATATTAATTTTTTTTTTTAATAAATGAAATATAAGTTAGACTTTTAAAGAATCCAAGAAGATGTAAAGAAGAAGACTCAGTAAGAGTGTTGCCATTTATTAAAATAGCAATGTTGACAGTATTATTGTTGTTAATAGTTGTTTGCACTCAATAACTGAGTTTTGTTAGAGTTAAAATGCCACTGCGAGCACCTATCTGTTACAAAAGTGAGATCAGCTGCCTGTTCTAAGCATCAAAAAGAGAAGACTTTTTGTCAAGACAGGAGTATAAAGTTGAGTCATCAGCAAAAAGAGCTACTTTTGATGAGAGGTTGTCAGGAAGGTCATTAATGTAGATATGAAACGAAATAAGCCCAAGGATAGAACCTTACAGTACCCCAGAAGGTACTGGAATTAAAGAAAAATATTGGCCTTCGAGAAGACTTTAATAAAAAGGTTAGAAAGAAATTATTTGTTGATCTCAAAAACTTTCCCAGATACACCATATGAAACAAGCTAATGGAGAAGACCAGCGTGCCAAATCTTGTCAAAAGCTTTAGATATGTCAAGAACATATATAATGAGAGTTTTGATTAATATATTTATTATATATAAGAATGTATCATTAAATTTTTTTCAAATTTTTATAAGAAAGTTATATGATTGATGAGAAATGCTTTTTTTAAAACTAAACAAATTAAAAACAAATAAAATTGATTCAAAAAAAATAGTATTTTGATTATCTTAAAAAAAATTTCCTACAATCATGTCATTTTTATACTGAAACTTTTTGAAATTAAATAAAGTTAGTTTTTGAACTTAAACAAAGTTTTTCTTTATATATGTTCATTACTTTGTTTTAATCAATAAATTTTTTTTAAACATTCTCTCTGATCCCTTTAAAAAATCTTTATAAACAAGTGAAAAAAATGTGTGTTTGTGTGTGACACAAGCTATTGAGATGTTTGCTAAAAGAATAAATCTGGAAGTATTGGAAATAGTGAAAGATGTATTTTTGCAAAATTAAAAATTAATTTTTTTTTTTTATACATTTTTTTCAAAAAAGTTTAATTTGATATTTAAAAATGTTTTTATCACAAAAACATAAAAAAATGTAACAGATTAATTGATTTAAAAAACATTTTAAAGTTTTATTTAATTTTTATTCTCTTGAAATATTTTTATAAATTTTTTTTTTGACTTATTATTTTAAACTTATTTTTGAATTATAGAATTCAGGAAAAGCAGAATTTCGTAAGGTTGCTGTTCCTCCTCATCGATACACACCATTAAAAGAAAACTGGATGAAAATATTTACACCAGTTGTTGAACATCTTCACTTACAAATTCGATTTAATTTAAACAAAAGAAATGTTGAAATTAGGGTAAATATTTTTAATTAGTTGATAGAAATTTATTTTGTAGAAGTATAGCTTTGTAGAAGTATAGCTTATACATATAGTATAAGGCTTTTCAAAAGTATGTTTTGTTGGGTGTCAAATGAAGCAAAATTATGTAAAATTTTTTAAAATAATCATCAGTTAATTAAAAATTTATTTATTTTTTACAGTAAAGAAAATGAAATTTTTTAACATATAATAAAGAAAGTGCATTTTAACATTTTACATTTATTTTTATGTTGCTTATAAAGTGATTATTATTTTTAAATTTTTAAATAATTATATATATATATATATATATATATATATATATATATATATTCATATATATATATATATATATATATATATATATATATATATATATATATATATATATATATATATATATATATATATATATATATATATATACAGTACCGAACTTAATTAACTGGGACAGTCACATTTTCATGCAAAGAAGACACAATCTTGAAATAATACTGATTTAATTATTTACAGATAGCAATAGTATTATATAATAATGTACAAAATATGTAAATATAACAATATAACAAAGAAATTCAGTCATTGAAAGAAAAAAATCTAATATTTTGTACTTCGACCCTTGACCCTCAATAATTCCCTCAAGCGACGCGGCATTGACTGTACCAGATTCTGGAGAGTGTCATGTGATATATTATTCCAGGCATTGGAAATCATGTGCCACAATTCATCCAGATTACTTGGCTTTCTGTTCTGCACCTTTTTGAATAGCACTTCCCACAAATTCTCAATCGGGTTCATGTCCGGACTCTGGGCCGTCCAAGTCATCGTTGTGACACCTTTAGACCTGAGAAATGTGGTCACAGTCTTTGCTGTGTGACAAGGTGCATTGTCATGTTGGAAAATATACTGCTGACCATCATAAAGCTTTGCAGCAGATGGCAACATAGCTGATTCCAACAACTCTATGTATCGGTTTTGGTTAAGAGTACCTTCGA